GACCCTCACGACCCCCCCCCCTGCATACACCCATGTATATATATTATTATATTATAGAGATCAATGCTAGTATCCCGTCTAGTATCCCGTCTAGTATGGTTCTTCGGACTTCTTCCGCCACACAAAGTGGCAGCACTTACTGATATCATGGCGGACAAAGATGTAGATTCTGAAACTGGTGATAAAGAAGAGTGTGACTGTGGAGATGCTAATTCTAATAAGCGTGGAACAAAACGACCAGTATCACCGGTTGAAAAGGTTATTACGATTATTGCTTAGATTTAACCCCTGTCTGCTAAACTACGAGGCAGTTTCCTTATATGCGGCTAGTATACTGTATTATGGGTTCAAGGATAGAGAACATGGGTCCCAATAAAACCAATGTCATTTACATCAATATAAATATAATATTATATCAATATAATAGGTCAGGGTTATGGTTAGGGTTAGGTTTAGGGTTAGGATTATGTTTCTAGCTGGCTGCGACTAGTCACTAGGGGCAGCGCATCTCCCATTCCCAAGTCCGAAAGGCGCCGAATTATTATTATTATTATTTTTTTGAATTAGGGATAGGGTTAGGGTTAGGGTTAACTGATTTTTATATGCACAACTTATTTATACTAATAATGCGCCACCTAGCGGATCACTATTTCTTCCCTGAGACTAGCTCTAGTACTATAGCCCGCGGATCGCTGCGGCGGCGATCCGCGGGCTATAGTACTAGAGCTACCCTGAGACCTACTATTTCGGACTTGGGAGACGCGCTGCCCCTAGAGGCATTCCCTCTAGCCCTAGGGCAGTAGGGGCAGCGCGTCTCACAAGTGTCAATATAACGAGAATGTCAATATAAATTTTATTATTGGATGATAGAAACGTAGACACTAAACTTAAATGAATCATTTATATAATCACTTCATAAGTAGCCAATCTGTAGATACCACAGATACTTGGAACGTTTCAATAATAAAATGATGGTAAATACAGGGCCGAAATTAAATTTTGCACTGTTGGACTCCCAAAAGAGTCCAAAAGAGTGAGTCCGCGGCAAAATGAGGGACTCCGCAGTCTGAAGTTCAAAGTTAAAGATATAACACATGTGCTTATTTTGAAGATTCATGCCACAGGCACTTGGAGCGTTTCAATAAAATATAATGCTAAATAAATACGAAATCTATTTATTACCAAAGTCCTAATGTTTCCATACTCTCTTTCACCTATTATTGCCGACAATTTTCTGTAAATGCCGTCCAAATGCTCATCTGCAACAAACGCTGGCTGCTGCCATTGCTGCCGCTGCACACTGACACATAAATATATAGCAGGTAGGAAAGCGTGCTGCCAAAATTCGTTCGACGCTCGCTTGATTTCGAATACAACACAAATATTCAACCATTCTACTCCATCTTTGTTTCTATTTGAAGAACAGTGTTCACTTGTTATAAAAACATACTGTCTGTGTTCGTAACCGAGCTGTGTCACGTGAAATCACACAAAGCCTGACGAAATTCTTGCGTTCGCTCCCGTTTTCCAAACGTGCGTATTTCAAACTGCATTTATGGAAAACTATTACAAATAATAGGCGAAAGAGAATAGATAACCATTATGACTTTGGTAGTAAATACATTATATGTTTATTTACCATCATTACCTCCGCCCAACGGAGTTGGAGGAGGTTATGTTTTCACTCTCGTGTGTTTGTGTGTTCGTGTGTTAGTGTGTTTGTATGTTCACGCAATCGATATTAGCACGTCGAGTCAAGCCAGCCAGCCAGCCAGCCAGCCAGCCACAGCTAGCTCCAGCAGCAGTCAGCAGCAGCCAGCAGCGAGCGGCGAGCCAGCTCGTAAGACATACATGTTACATGGGAGCGTGTACATGTCAGTACGCTGGCGTATATCACGGGCTATTCGTGTGTTCGTGAGTCGTATGGCATATGGCGTATGTCGCTGGCGGAGGTATGCACTCCGTGAGTGCATTCTGTCCAGGGTACTCCCTACGCGCGCCCCGTTTGGGAAAACTCCCCCCTGTTTCAATTGTTGCGCCCCGTTTAAATTACTTCCGCCCCGATTAAATTCCACCACAATAAAAGTTTGACAGCGCTGGAATTGATCGTCAAGAATTCCCATTCGACCAGGACAACCGACT